TTTTAAAAAAATTTTAGTGTTAAATTTCTTAAAAATAATAATTCAGTTGGTAATGATTTTACCCCTCGGTCATCTTCATGTTTTATAGTTATGAAAAATTGAATTTTTAGTTTTAAGTAAAATGTTTTCTTATTTGACTGGAACTGGTTATATTTTCTTTCGGTCCGGAAATGGTTTCTAATTTTTCATTTTTGATCCGTAAAGTCCGTATTTACTATTTTTAAATACTTTCACTGGTTCGAGTACCGAATACGTAGAAAAATTAAATATCGAACTTTTCATTATAAAAAGGTTTTAAATTTGAAAATGATTGAAAATCTGAATCTTTCATACTTTTAATGAACAATATTCTGTAAAATGTTTTCTCAATATGAATAATAATTGTTCGTTTTAGAAAATATGAAAATAGTGCAAAAAGGAAAATTGAGGAATTGAGTCGTAAAATTTGCGCAATGATGGTCCTTGTTCGGGAGACATTAAGGGAGTCTTGCAATTAGTATTATCACAATTCACAATGAATATGTTCTATTTGCGTTGATGAATCACGATGCCGTCAAATGAAAGCGTAAAAGAGGGTTTTGAACATGTAACGTGTGTATATATATTCTAGTGGTATAATTATGTATATAGTCCGCTCTTGATTTGTCTTCCCCTATTCATCATGTGTCACTGGCTAGAGCCACAGGCATTCCTTAATGATGGTATATTGTCCTTTAATGCAGAATCTTTGAAATACTGCTCTATATATCGAATGAAACGTGAATTATAATATCTAAGTCAAAATATATGTACCTAAATCCATTCTATTCGGTTAATTACTTTGTTATTTTTGCGACAATTAATTTTGCAAATTTCATCCATATTTATTCATGTTGAAAATTAATTATTTAGGATAAATTAAATTTCAATAAAGCTGAAAATGTTAATTTGAATTTTAGTAGCATTAAATAGTAACTAATTATACAAATTTGTGCAAACACTAATTAACAATTCATTAGAGAATATTACAGCTTTGTTCTTTGAAAATTCGGAATATCGATTCTCTCAAAGCAGTGTCACTAGGATTTGATTACATAGGTATGCATGTTGAGAGCCTATATCAAACTTGTTTTTATTGACTTTGCTTTGGTACTTCGGATATATATATATATGTATACAGAGGACAAGGCAATTTTCATTAGCGTTACCCGGGAAGCATGTTATGCCTTTCAACAGTTCTTTTTTTTTAATTATTAGAAACGAACTGTTCGATGTCTGGTGATCAAGAACTTTTCGTTTAATCTCGTGAGTTTCGACGCCCGTCCGATAAATGGAGCGACGTTTAACAAAAAAAGGGGAAAAATTGTTTGCTTGCCAGTGGAGATGAGAAAAATGAAAACTGAAAGAGAAAAGTTATTATTTTCATTGCAATTGATATATAAAAATAACGGAATTAACGGTTTGTAATATATTTTCATTTTTTATATTTTCAATTTTAGAAATTAATTTTTCCTTGGAAAAAATACAACAATTTATTTACTATAGCAATGATTTTACTATTTAATACATTTTATATTGTTAATAATATCTTTAACTAAACAGTGACGTTGCGAAATTATTTGATAAATATGCAGAGGTGCCTTGTGTATATAGGTACTTGAAGGAAAAAAAATTGTAGTTTTAACTCTTTGAGTGTGTGTTGGCTTTAACCCAAATTCCTAGAATAGTCTTCATGTAACATAACTTGGCTTAGTAATTATAATTCAAGGGAAAAACGTTGTTTCTTGAGGATCAACTCAAAGAAACTGTAGAACGAGAATATTTTAATGACTGTCTCCTCATCCCGTTATCTACTGTAGTCCTAGTTCCATATTATTATTACTATTATGATTATTATTATATCTCCTACTCAAATTTTCCGCTCTCGAGCCTTTTTATGCATTTACATTTCCCTCTCACTCGCTGGGAACGAATTTGTTGCCCCCGAATCTCTCATTTCTCTGCAAAAATTGTCGTATTTGAAAAGAATTTTCAAGTATTTTTCGCGTGAGACGTTAATCAAGAGAGTATACATAATACCCTTCAGAAAAGTTGTTCACTTTTCGAATAGAAATTTTCTTTCTGTTTACTAAAGCAGGACACGCATTCACTAATTATTGGTGAATTATTAATTTTTGACATTTTTCCAGACGATTCGGATATAATTTTAGTAATAGCAGGAAATACGGATTTTTATCGTTTTTAGATTTTTTCACCCGCGTAGAAACCATTGACGAAGACAAAAAAATATTTTAAACCCCCAAAATATCGAAATTTTGACTATGGTCACAATTTCAGGGCTCGAACCAGTGAAAGTATTTAAAAATAGTAAATACGGACTTTACGGACCAAAAATGAAAAATTAGGAACCATTTCCGGAGCGAAAAAAAAATATAACCAGTTCCAGTCAAATAAGAAAACATTTTACTTAAAACTACAAATTAAATTTTTCATAACTATAAAAAATGAAGATATCGATAACTCGGAGTTTTCGACTCGGAGTGATCGATTTCTTCATGTTTTATAATAATTAAAGATGATCGAAGGCATAAAATCATTACAAATTCAATTATTATTTTTAAGAAATTTAAAACTCAAATTCTTCTTTAAATTTAAATCGATTATTTTTAATAATTTTCCAAAAAGTTCTTTGACAATTTTCAAATTCATTTTTATACAATTCAATTTTACACAATTACAATTATACGTAAATTCTTCATTTAAATATTTATAAAATAAAAACTTGAAATAATTTTTAAAAAATCCGCAATTAAACTTTCCCAAAAAAAAATTAATTCTACGGAATTGTTAGTTAAAAATATGAAAAACTCAGATTTTCAAAGATTTTAATTTGAAACCTTTTCAACATTCAATTATTTCTAACAATTCACGCTCTTATGTTTTTAATATTCAATTATAATCTAAAATTATTGTAAGTGAAATTCATTTTTAAATTAATTTTTGATAGAAATTTCTACTAGAATTCAATTATTTAAATTCAAAAAAAAATTTATTTAATAATTGCATATTTCTTAAACTTGAATTCTAATAAAGAATTTTATCAATAAATTTTTAAATAATTGAATTCTTTTAACAAATTTTAATAAAATTTTTAAGAATAATTACACTTTTCGAGGAATTCGATTAAAAATGTATTTAAAATAATTTAAATTCAGCAATGAGTTTTATTATTTATGAAAATAGTTATATTATTAGAAAGAATTTTATAAAAAAAATTTCATATACTTGACTTTTTTCAAAAAAATTTATGCAAATTCTATTTTTAATAACTTAATTTCTGTGAAACTTTTATTATTTTAGAAAATAATTATGAATTTTGTTAAAATGGTTTTTAAATAATTGAATTCTTTTGGAAAATTTTATTAAAATATTAGATATTGAAAATTATTGAAATCGCAGGAAAATTTCTGAAAATAATTGAAATTTTCCAATGAATTTTATTAAAATTTTTTTAAATAATTAAATTCTTGTGATGAATATTATTGTTTATGAAAATAGTTGACTTCCTCCGAATAATTTTATTATTTATAAAAATCATTGAAATACCTGAAAGGATTAAAAAATTGTTTGAAAATAATTGAATTAATGCGCAGAATTTAGTGACAAATTTTAAAACATTTGATTTTTCCCAAAAAATTTATGCAAAATCTTTTTTTTAAATAATTGAATTCTTGTGAAATTTTTATTTTTTTGGAAAATAATTGAATGTTTGCGTAGAATTTTATCAAAATTTTTTATTAATAATTGAATTCTTTTGAGAAATTTTATTAACATAGTAGAATATTGAAAATCATTGAATTAGGAAACATTTTTGAAAATAATTGAAATTTTGCCATGAATTTCATTAAAATTTTTGAAAATAATTGAATTCTTGTGATGAATACTATTATTTCTGAAAATAATTGAATTTAGCAATGAATTTTACTAAAATTTCTAAAAATAATTGAATTTTGTCTCAAAAATTTTTACTATTCATTTATAAAGATAATTGAAATGTTGACAATTTTTTTAGATTTTTTGAAAATAATTGAATTTTTGCGAAGAATGTTATTTATTTTTTGAAAATGATTGAATTCTTGTAAAATTTTTATTATTTTATGAAAATAATTAAAGGTTTGCGTAGAATTTTATTCAATTTTTTTTTTTAATTATTGAATTCTTTTGGACAATTTTAATAAAATAGTAAATATTGAAAATCATTAATTGAGAAAAATTTTTGAAAATTATTGCAATTTTGCCAAGAATTTTATTAAAAATTTTGGAAAATAATTGAATTTCGAAGAAGAATTTAATTTGTATTTCTAAAGATAATTGAAATTTTGACGAGATTTTTTTAAAAAGTTTTGAACACATTGAATTTCTGCGAAGAATTTTATTACTTTCGAAAATAATTAAATTTCTGCAATCATTTGTAATTTCTCTAAAATTCTTCAAATTATATCGTACAATTTACGAACTTTTCGTCTTTTCTCAATCAAATTACGGACTTTACTGATCTTTTTTTTAAAAAAAAACGGACTTTTACGGACTTCAAGCAAATTTAACGGTTCTTTACAGGATTTACGGACCTAGTTCGAACCCTTCAATTTAGAAAATCATGGCGAACGACAGAAGTATTAAAAAACCTGAAAATTTATATATTTTAAACATGGTTAAAATCTAGCGAACCATGGCCAATGACAAAAATATTTAAAACCCTCAAAATTTCTATATTTTTGACTTATAGCCAACGTATCAATTTGATATCCTTAAAAAGACTGTGAACTTTTTGTTATTCATCTTTCGAAATGGGTTAAAATATTTTGTGGATTTCAACCTATAATAAATTTAGCATAGTTCGTTTAATTATTTACTCTCTGTGCACCTCTGATAAAATGCAGAGCTATATTCTTATAATACAAAATTTAAAACTCTTAACACTTTGCAGGTACTTTAAATGATTAAAAAAAGAAGTGACTCACCTGTACTCTTGACAGTTGGCGAAATAACAGGATCAGCACGCAGGACATGCGAGCATCCGAGGATGAGCAGCAGCAGCAATTTCAAAAAGTTAAGAGTAGCCATCATCAGATTTCCATGAGAAATTCTACGAACAAAAAGAAAAAAATGTCGTAAGAAGAAAGAAGCGAAGAAAGAAGTAAAGAAAAAAGCTAAGAAAAAAAACGAAGTAAAAAGAGAAGGAAAAATTGTCATTAAACATTATCTTCGAAATAGTACTAAAATTATATTCAAACCATTATATTATACCTATAGGACCAAGGAATATAACTTCACTTCATTGCTATATAGAAAACTTAGTGAGCCAACTGTGACGGCGCGGCGGCCCTATAGACTCTTTTTTAGAACCCTTCGATTCTCACAATTCCTCTCAACCCATCCCCCACACACACAGTATGAGAAGCTGAGGTCAGCACTCTTCTTAATAACCAACGACGAGGTGACGAACGCCCAGTCTCCCGACAGCAAAAAAAAAAAAGAAGAAGAAGAAAAAAAAGAACGGAAGGATATTCTGGTCAAACTTTTCCGAAATTCTGCAAAGAAGGAGTTTAAATTGCAAGCACGTCCTTACTGAGGGCAAACATCGAATGGGGTCACTCAGAGTTAGCAGTCTTTCCAAGCCAACTAGTTATCTCTGCATAGCTTCCGGGACACATTGTCTGTCTCGGACTTTCTCATAAGTTTCAAAAAGAGGGCAATATGTGGGTGTCCCCACCCAATGTCCCTTATATGTAGGGACACTACTTCTCCCTCCCTTCCTATTAGGGGAGGGGGTAATACGCGTATAGTTATTATGTGCAGCCACCGCCCTAAATACAATCGCCTTGTTGTGAACGCGTCTTCTTATCTTGCATCTTCCATTCTCTGGATCTGCTTGTGGTTGCTTGAGCGGTTACAAACTCTCAAATAGGGATAGAAAATGCTATGAAGGGGGTAGGGGGAGAGAAAGGGTAAGAGAGTTCTTGCCTCTCTTACTCCACACTATCTCTCGCCAAAGTCTTTCCGACCCACAAACCTTACCCTCCCTTTTCTTCTAAGTTCCTCATGACCCTTAGCCACCACCACCACCAACCACCCCAGCTGCGATAAGCCCGGAAGCAAGAGACGACGCCGAGTCTTTCGCTCCAACAAATCTATTTTAAATTCCCATCCCTCACAAACACTAAAAAAAAAAAGAAGCAAGCGTTTTTTCAAACTTGAAATGGTCCGCGGCATATTAATTCACAATAAATAATATTCCACTCCAGCATGATCTCCCATCCACAGGTATATCAAACTTGAAAACTGAAAGAAATGTCTCTATTAAATAGATATTTCAGTCAGCCCTTGGGACAAAAAAAAGAGAGTAAGGGTAAATAAAGCTGGTTTCACTGAGTGGAAAAATGACGTATGAGGGTGAAATGACGTTGGGGATATTAGTAAGCTTGAAAAATAGAAGAGATTGCATTCAACCAAAATCCCTAAGGGTATCTTTTTTTTATATATACTGAATTTTCAATTATTCAAATGCTGTGCAAATATACAGCAAAAAAAGAAAAAAAATGACAAAATAATATGTCAAATTTTATAACAAGTCTATTCATTCGAAATGTAATGAAAACACTGTCATTGGCTTATCTCTCATACTCTTTAATATATATACCAATTCGCAACTCTATCATTAGGAGAAATAAATTTTACAAATAAATTAAATTATTTCGAGTCTTCATAGAAACTTCCGATTGGAATTAAATTTAGTAAAATAGGGTTGCCACAAAATATTAAATTTGTTTTTTCCTGATTTCCAGTCAAAATTCAAAATTTTTCTCTGACAACAATAATTCTGATTCAAAAAATAATTAGATACTTAAAAAATGTTCTTTTAGATTTATTTACGAATTTCTTTAATTCGAAAATTATTCGAAAACATCAATAACTTCTTTTTTCTTAATAAATATTTTACCCGTTGACTGTCGCTGACGCATATATGCGCAACTTAAAAAAGGTGATTAAAGACTTCTTAAATGTTCCTGAAACCGGTTACTCGGGGGTTTTCGAGGTCGCTGATTACGAATATGACGTTCGTTTTCCAAAATTCAAAATGGCGGATCCAATATGGCGGACAATGAAATAAAAAATTGATCAGATTGGCTTGAAACTGAATACTCGGGGGTTTTTAGGGTCGTTGATTACGAATCTGACATTAGTTTTTCAGGGTATTTACCGAAATTTGATTTCACCAAAAATTATCACACTGATGTCAGATTAACTAGTTTCAAACAAATTCAATAAATTTTAAAAAATTTTCCGCCATATTGAACCAGGTATTTTGAATTTTTTTTTTTTTGAATTTTTAGAGTACCAAGTTTCATAAAAATCCATTAAAAATTTTTTCAACACACTTTTGGCCCAAACAGTGGAAATCTCGTTTACAGCCAAGGGGTTAATCATAATTGTTTTCCATCGGAATTAAGATTTTCAAAAATTAACATTTCATAAACTTTTTTGAAATTTAATATTTTTTAAGAATTCTATTATAAAAGATAAAGAAATCAACCTGGATTTCTTTATGTTTTATAATAATTAATGATGACCGAGCGATAAAATCATTGTTTTCATCACTGCAGTTCCAAATTTTCTAGAATTTTTAACTTAAATTCTTCTTTAAATCAATTATTTCTAATAATTTTTTATAAAGTCCTTTGTTTACAAATCCATTTGTTTACAATTCAATTAAATAAAATTTCGATTATTCAAAAATTCTTCAATTGAATATACATTAGAAACTAAAAACTTCAAATAATTTCAAAATAAAATTCAATTAAACTTTTTCAAAATTTCATTATTTCTGCAAATTTTAAATATAACGCATTTAATATTCAAGAATTATCTAAAATTTTAACTGAAATTCATTTTCAAATTAATTTTTAATAGAAAATTCTATATGAGAATTCAATTATTTAAATACATAAAAAATACATTTTTTAAATAATACAATGTTTCTTAAAATTACAATCCCATAAAAAATGTGAAAATTTTTAAATACAATTGAATTCTTTCGATGAATTTTAATAAAATTTGAAAGAATAATTGCATTTTTTGAGAAATTCAATTTAAATTCTACTAAAACTAACTAAAATTCTATAAGTTTTATAATTCATAAAAATAATTAAACCCCTGAAAAGAATTTTAATATTTCTGAAAATATTTGGAATTATTCCAAAGAATTTTATAAAAAAAAGTTAAAATCATTTAATTCTTTCGAAGAATTTTAATAGAATTTTTAAGAATAATTACAGTTTTCGAGGAATTCGATTAAAATTGTAATAAAAAATAATTTAACTTCTGCGATGAGTTTTATTATTTATGAAAATAATTGAATTCCTAAAATAAATTTTATTATTTATGAAAATAATAGAAATTTTGACAACAATTTTATTAAAATTTTTGAAAATAATTCAAATTTTGTCAAGAATTTTATTAAAATTTGTTATAACTATTGAATTTGGGAAACATATTTTATTATTTCTAAAGATAATTGAAATTTTGACAAGAATTTTATTAAAATTTTTGAAAATAATTGAATTTAGGAGAACAATTTTATTATGAATAAAGATTTGAATTAAAGAATTGAAATTTATAAGAATATTCTTACTGTAAATTCTCCAAAATTATTTTCCTCACTTCAAATTCAAATATAATTTTTTAGAATTTTGAACGAAACATATTCATTTATTTAATAAACTATTTTTTTTTTATTTAAATAATTGAATTCTCGTAGAATTTTCTAGTAAAAATTGCTTTAAAATTGAAATTCAGTTAGAATTTTAGATAAAAATTGAATATTAAAAGCATTATAGCATAAATTTTCAGTAATAATTAAATTTTTAAAAAGTTTAATTCAATTTTTTTTGAAATTATTTCACGTTTTTATTTTCTAAATATTTAATTGGGGAATTTTCGAATAATCAAAATTTTGTAAAATTGTATTGTAAACAAATGGATTTGAAAATTCTCTAGGAACTTTTGCAAAAATTAGTAAAAATAATTAATAATTGTTAATTTATTTATTTCGAAGAATTTTAATAGAATTTTTGAAATTAATTACATTTTTCAAAGAATTTACTTAAAATTGTATTAAAAATAATTGACATTCTGTGAAGAATTTTATTATTTATGAATATAATTGAAATCTTGCAACGAATTTTTATCACATTTTTTTTTAAATAATTGAAATCCTGTAAAGAATTTTATTATTTATGAAAATAATTGACTTCTTGCAACAAATATTATCAATTTTTTTTTAAATAATTGAATTCTTTTGAGAAATTTTATTAAAATAGTAGATTTTGAAAACTATTTAAATTTCAGCAAACGATTTCATTATTTGTGAAATGTAATTGAATTCTTGCATAATATTTTTGAAATTAATTTCATTTTTCGAAGAATTTACTCAAAATTATATTAAAAATTATATTTAAAATTTATGAAAATAATTTAATTTTCACAACGAATTTTATTAATTTTTTTTCTGTATTTTTTCAAGGTATTTTTTTAAAATAATTGAATTGATTTGAAAAATTGTATTACTTGTAAAAATATTTGAATTCTTGTGAAGAATTTTAATAATTTTATTAAAATTTTTTGTAAATTATTTAATTTTTTTTTAATTTTGTGGAAATTTAAATTATTACAAGTTGTTGAATTTCAAGAGGTTTGAATTTGAATATTTTAAAGAATTTTAATTCCTATGGTATAAATAATAATGATTAAATATTTATTTAGAAATGAAGTTATACTGTTGTTTTCGAATAATTTTACAATTAAAGAAATTCGTAAATGTAGGTAATAGAACATTTTTTTGAGTATCTAATAATTTTTAGATATTCTTAATATAAAATTTAATTTTATAATAGTTTTTTTATATGTTCTTTAGTCAGGAAAATAGTCAAAATTTTGTCTGCAAATCAGGGAAAAGTGGTGAAAAAAATTTTTATTTCTGTGACAACCCTGTAAATTAAAAACAAGTTAAAGTTCGATTTGCATTTTATTCGAAGCAACATAGAAATTTCAGTGCATAATAAGAATTTTCACTCCTTTTATTTCTCC